GGGTTGGGAGGTCAGGAATGGGGTTGGAATGTTGGGAGTGGGGTTGGGACCGTGGGATTGGAATTGGAACTTCGGGATTGGGGTGAGATCCCAAGGGAAGGCTCTGAACCCCTTCCACGTCATCTGCATCAACAAGATGCTCTCCTGTGCTGGGGCCGACAGGTGGGGGGTCCCAAAAATCCCGGGGGGTGGGTTGGGATGTCAGGAATGGGGTTGGAACCTCGGGATTGGGGTGGGATCCAAAGGGAAGGTCCTGAACCCTTTCCGGGGCGTCTCTTATCAATGGGATGCTCTGCTGGGGTTGGGGGTGACAATTTGGGGGTTCTGGCACCCTGAGGGGGGTTCTGGCACCCTGGGGGGCTCCCAAAAATCCCGGGGGTGAGCCCAAAATCCCGGTAATGGGATTGGAATTCCGAGGGAAACCGCGGCACCCCCTTCCCGCGGCATCCACAGCAACAGGTTTCGGGGGTCCCTTCCTGAGATTTGGGGTCTCCTTCTGGGGTTTTTGGGGTCTCCCTCCTGGTTTTTGGGGTCTCCCCTGGGATTTTAGGCTCTCCCCCAGGTTTTGGGGGTGTCCCCCAGGATCTGGGGGGGGGGTCCTCCCTGAGTTTTGGGGTCCCTTTTCTGTGGGATTTTGGTGTCGTCGTTCAAGTTTTTCCTCTTGGGATTTGGGATCTCCCTTGGGATTTGGGGTCTCCCCCCAGGTTTGGGGGTCCTCTCTGGGTTTTGGGGCCCCTTCTGCAGCCAATTAAGCCGACCAGGACCCCTCCCCAGTGGGGTGTTGGTGTGCAATGGCTGCAAACAGAGACCCCCCCCGGCTGTGTAGGGTGCCCGGCCCCCCCAACCCCGCCGGGGCACCCAAAGGGGCCGGGGGCACAAATGACCCCCCCAGGGTGGGTTTGGGGCACAAATGACCCCCCCAGGGTGGGTTTTGGGGCACAAATGAGCCCCCTCAGGGTGGGTTTGGGGCACAAATGACCCATCCAGGGTGGGTTTGGGGCACAAATGATCCCCCCAGGGTGGGTTTGGGGCACAAATGACCCCCCCTGGGGTGGGTTTGGGGCACAAATCACCCCCCCAGGGTGGGTTTTGGGGCACAAATGACCCCCCCAGGGTAGGTTTGGGGCACAAATGACCCCCCCCAAGGGGTATAAATGATTCCTCCAGGGTGGGTTTGGGGCGCAAATGACCCCCCAAGGGGCACAAATGACCCCCCCTGAGGGGCATAAATGACCCCCCAGAGGCACAAATGAGTCCCACAGGGTGGGTTTGGGACACAAGTGACTCCCCAGGGTGGGTTTGGGGCACAAATGATCCCCCCAGGGTGGGTTTGGGGCACAAATGACCCCCCCAGGGTGGGTTTTGGGGCGCAAACGATCCCCCAGGGACACACCCCACCCCCCCAGCGAGGGTCTGGGACACAAATAACCCCCCCAGGGAGGGTCTGGGGGTGCCCCAAAGGGGTCTCCCCACCCTCAGGACCCCCCCTGTGCCCCCCCAGGCTGCAGATGGGCACGAGGAGAGGGCTTTGGGGGGGGATCTTTGGGTCCCCTCCGTGTCCTCCTGGCATGGCACCCAAAGGGGACTGAGATGTAAAACCACCCCCAGGGAGGGTCTGGGACCCAAATAACCCCCCAGGGAGGGTCTGGGGGGGTTCCTGGGGGTCTCACCACCCCTCTAACCCCCCGAGGCTGCAGATGGGCACGAGGGGGGGGCTTTGGGGGGGGATCTTTTGTTTCCTCTCCGTCTCCTCCCCACGTGGCACCCAAAGGGGACGGAGACACAAACACCCCCCCGGGAGGGTCTGGGACCCAAATAACCCCCCCAGGGATGGTCTGGGGGTGCCCCTGGGGGTCTCACCACCCCTCTAACCCCCCCAGGCTGCAGATGGGCACGAGGGGGGCGTCGGGGAAGCCGCAGGGCACCGTGGCCAGGGTGCACATCGGGCAGGTCACTGAGGGGGACAGGACACAAAACACCCCCCAAGGAGGGTCTGGGACACAAATAACCCCCCCAGGGAGGGTCTGGGGGTCTCACCACCCCTGTGACCCCCCCAGGCTGCAGACTGGCATGCGGGGGGCGTTCGGGAAGCCGCAGGGCACCGTGGCCAGGGTGCACATCGGGCAGGTCATCATGTCCATCCGCACCAAGGCCCAGAACAAGGAGCACGTGGTGGAGGCGCTCAGGAGGGCCAAGTTCAAGTTCCCCGGCAGGCAGAAGGTATTTTTGGGGGGTTTTTGGAGGCACCCCAAAAAATTCCAGGGGTGGGGGGACCCCAAAAGTTAAAGGGGGCTGAG